TTGCTTGAACCCAGGAAGCAGAAGTTGTAGTGAGCTGAGATCGCGCCACTGCACTCCAGCCTGGGTGACAGAGTGAGACTCTGTCTCAAAAAAAAAAAAAAAGAAAGAAAGAAAGAAAAAGAAAAAGATTTGTGCCCAAAGATACCCAAAGATACATATTTGTCTTGCTTCATTTCATGGTCATAGACTTTTATCCCATGCCAGACTTCTCACAGACTTGTACTACAGGACAAAGGGGCCCAAGTAGGGTATTTGGAAAATCAACAAACACTAGAATTGGAAAAACAAGCAAAGACTACAGCACATGTGTAATTACCATCTTGTACAGGCATCTCGTGGTTTTAAAATAGTAGTTCCAATAATGTGAGACCTTAAATCGTCTTTTCAACATCACTGATGATGAGTTCTCAGAATCAGTGTGTAGATGAAGAAAGTCAATTTTATGCTTATAATATTTAAAGAACGGTTCTTGTTTTGTTCATTACATCTGTAACATTTTATTTTTTAATTAAACTTTAAAATCATGTACTTCCACGTAAAATGGCATCATAAATCAAAATGAGAATACTTAGAACCTAATTGTTACACCATTGTCAAAGTCTAATTACATAATGGTCATTTTATAAACAAATGAAACCCCTCAGGGCATATCATGAGGGGATATTGCCTTTTCTAGGCTGAAGTCACTTGGCATCAAACTCATCTTAAAAGGCTCCTAAGGTGTGGTAATATCTATGACTCATGAATTGTCCTTTCATTGCTGTACTGATTACATGATTTCCAAGATTAAATGAGCTATTAGATTCTGACTTCATTTGTTTACTGCACACAATATTTATTACAGTAAATATCAAGTTCATTACGTAAAATTATTGCTATCCACTTGCCAGATATTACCAAAGAGACGTAGGGGGAGAGAATACGTGTATTATTAAATCAATGGTTCCATTTACCCCAAAGGCAGTAGTGAAGAGATGGAAAGGTGGCTTTATCCAAAACCCCAGGAAATCAATCTGAGGCACCCGTAAACTAGTAAGAACTCCTCAAAGGGGTAGTAGCTCACTACCCTGAAATGGAGCAAGCCTAACCAAAGTGGGGTCCAGCAGGGCACACTCTACGGTGGAATGGAAGAGCGCACTGAGGCTGAGGGATGGCAGGAAGAGAAGGTGAGGGGCCAGGTGGTAAGAAGCTCATTCAGGATAACAAAAGAGGAAACCCACAATTGAACTTCAGTAATTGGTGACTTTTCTGAGCTTCAGTATCCTCTTCTGTAAAAAAAGATGGGTAAACCATAAGGTCTGAAGCCTCCCTTTGATTTCACAAGTCCATGTTTTTATGCCTAGGGTTGCATGGAACACATGCAGTAGCAAAGAGCCCAGGGGTCAGGCCCACCTACAAGCCACCCTGATCCACACTGGAGTGGGCAGGTCCCTCTGCCTTTCCAAGTCTCAGCGTCCTCTGGAGCCTGGAAGCAAAGAAGTGTGGCAGACAGGCAGTCACCTCCTGGGAGAAGCCCAAGGGTAGATCCAGTACTTCTAATTATCCTCATTTTTCTTTTTTTCTAAATAAGAGCACCTGGAATAAATTGAATACTAAGTGTGCATAAGCAGCATCCATTTCACTTACTGTACTCTACCACATGTTGTACGTGCTGCTTGGGATAAAATGTTCTCTCTTCTGAATGTTTTTACACGGCTTGCTACTTTAAAGTATATACTTAATATTACCCATTCCCACCGCATTGAAAGAGGCCTGCCAAAAGTTAAGGATGCCAAAAGGAAGGCGGGAGTGCAGCGCACATGCTGGAGAAGGAGAAACTCTGTAACCACTTTTAACATCTTGTTTTTATCAAGACTCTCATGTCAAATGAAGATTATTCCAGGACTACGAGAAAAACGCCAGAACATGGGCCCTTTTGAGTGAAAATTGAGGAGAATGCCCAGGTGTGAAGCACAGCTGACCTTCAGCAACACTGAGAATTGGAAGCATTTGTGTTGTGTCATCGTCTCCTACCTCTTCTTTTAGTACGTTCTCTTCTCTTTCCTAACTCACAGCTCCCCACTCTGCCTCCTCTTCCCCTGCACCTCTCCAGGGCCCCATCATTTATATCAGAGTCTTCAAAGCATCCCTCCCCAAACTCCAGTTCTTCTGGCCAGCGTTTGGGGAAGAAACTGCACTATTTCATCCATACTAAATGTTAAAATGGTTGAACTTGGCCTTTCAAAAGTTACCTGCAGTTTAGAAGACATTGGGCAGAAAGTGTCATGACAAAGGAAAAAAAAAATTCCAGTGATAGATGTTCAGGTCAATTGGACAAAACAGTCTGAGGAATGAGACCATGGATTTTTCAACTTTTCAAACAGGTCTAGGAATCTGAGCCATAGTGTAGTAGGAAACTGTGGCTACTATTAACTCTTCTCCATGTTTTCTGGTCGGTTTTATTTGTTTTGGGGGGGTCTCCTCCTGGTTTGGTCAACTATCAGTAAACATTCAATATGTGAGAAAATAATATGCTGTATTTAAATTTATGTCCAGGTTGGGCTACATAGAAATGGATGAAGTTTGTCATTTTTAGATTTGTATTCTTGTCAGTCTATTGCCTAGTACAGGTATCCCTTTTAGAAAAATGAGTAGTTTCTTTGGAGACTTGGGAAGAAAGGGTGTGAAGTTGGGGAGGGATAGGACTACAGATTCGGTGCAGTGTATACTGCTCGGATGATGGGTGCACCAAAATTTCACAAATCACCACTAAAGAACTTACTCATGTAATCAATTGCCACCTGTTCCCTAAAACCCTATGGAAATAAAAAATTTTTTAAAAAATAGTAGTCTCCACAAGTCTGGATGTGTTATTCTACTTTTCCCTTTTAACATCTTATCTTTAGCTAGTTATAAAGTTAGCAGAGCTCTCAACCTGAGCACCAGTGACATTTGGGGTCAAAAAATGTTTTTGTTGGGGTTATTATAATGTGCATTGTAAGATGTTTAGCAGCATCCCTGGCCTTTACCTGCTAGATGTCAGTAGCACCCTTCCAGGTTACAGCAACCAAAAATGTCTCCAGGCATTGTCAAATGTCCCCTGGGAGGCAAAATCATCCCCATTTGAGAACCACAGAGTTAAAGTAAGATTACAAAAATGAAAACCCAACTCACAGTTAGGAAGAAAAAGTTAACAGTTGTTTTTACAATGGTGGTAATGTGGTATGCAATTCAAAGTTATGTCCACTGGCTAGCCTCTATATAGTTTTATTCTAAGGCGAATCAGGTATCAAAATCTTCAAAGAAAAAAATGATTCAGCAACTAAAAGAGTCTGAAAAAAAGAGTATTAGGGGAAGCCTCAAATATTAACTTAATTTAGAGGGAAATTCTTCTGTCCTCTGGTCATAATACATGCTTTTTAATAAATAGTTTGTGATACTAGAAAAGAACAAAACCAATTGGGACACACAGCACCTTGCCCTTGTCAGATGAGATGGCCTAGCAGACAACTGCAGAACAAATTTCAATCATAAAGATAATTTTGTGAAATAGATACTCAAGTTACCAGAATAGAGAAATAGCACTAACCCATGTAATAGGTTACAAGAATCCTTTCAGTTTTACGGGATTAAGTGATTGATAAAATTTTTAAATTACGGCAAGCCTGAAAAAAATTAAAGACTTGCCTCTCTTGCTGGTTGCTATTTTGGAAGCAATAAAGACTCAGCTCATATAAAAATGTATTTCCCATTCTTCTGCCAATTCATGTTTGGTTGTAGAATTTTCTCCTCTTCCACCCCACCCCCTCCACCTCCCCTCATGACATCCCATTAGCATCCCAAGACAAAGGCAGAACTACAGGGGAGTGGCGCTGGGACCCCTGTGGGTCTTTTCTCAGGCAATGAGAGAATCAGATTCTCCACCTGGAACCCATAAAGGAAGGAACGCCGTAACACACAGCTTTTAAAACAGATGTTTACATACGCTTGCGGGAGGACAGGTTAAAATATATTCTAGTCCTCTTTCTCTCACTTCAAATTCCATCAGTGTTGTAAATCGGCTCATCTTATGCCCCTTTCTTTCTCTTTCCTCTAGACCAGTGGCTCTCAAAGTGTGATGTGATCAGCATCCCCGGGGAACATGTTAGAAATGCAAATCTTCAGCCCCCACTCCAGACTTAGGGAATCCCCTAAAGTCCAAGAACCCCTGATTTAGGCCAGTGTTCTTTCTAGAACCACAAACATTGTTTCTTACAGAAAGCAAAACTGCAATTCTCATTTCATCCTCAAACCTGCTGCAAGGTAGTAATGTATTAGCCCCACGTGAGGGATGAGGAAACCGGCTTAAGGTCTCAAAGCTAGTCACTGCAGGTGGAAGATTAAAGTGTTTGCACTTCTTTTCACTACTGAAACAAATCTGTCGCACTTTATTATCAACATCTGGATTTTTTGCTGGTTGGCTGGTTGGTTTTTGTTTTTACTCTTTCAGCTTTCGTCAATTCGTAAGAATATAAAACACAGTGGGTGAAAGTAGTGTACCAAATGCCTCGGGTCGTCCCGAGTCGGAATTTAAGGGCAGGACTCAGGAAAGGTGTTTTTCCAATAAAGACCGTTTCGTTCTGCTGCGGTCCATCCTGTCCCTGTCCCCAGGACAGCACGCAGCAGGCAGAAGTGGCCAGAGCTGCACGGCGGGGCCGCGGGCATCCCCGACGCGACAGGTTGTCTGCGGGAAGGGAGCCAGTCCGCGAGGCCCCGGCGCGCCGCGGCTCCGGGCCGGGGGTACTGGTTTACAGGGCAAATTGGCACACCCCAAAGCCCAGGGGACGCCCGGGCCTCCGCCACAGCCCAGGGAGGAGGGGGTGGGTGGTGAACCCGAAACCGCCGAGGGCCGCGCGGCCAAAAACCACACGGACCGCTAGGGTCGCAGTGAAGATCCGGGAAGAGCGGGCAGGCTGGAGAGGAGAGAGAGGGCGAGAACCCAGGAAATTGAAATGGGGCGGGGAGAGCGGGCTGGCACTCACTGTGAGGGTCGCTCTTCTCCCGGACCCCGTCAACTCGGCCGTCGGGGTGAATGCGCAGGAAGAAGCCCCCGTTTTTGCAGTACAGCCGCTTGGGGTCCTTGAAGTGGCCAGGCGGGAAGGCGCCGCTGCCGCCATCCTCGGGCAAGGCGGGCAGCGTGGTGATGCTCCCGGCTGCCATGGTCCCTCCGGGGCCCTGCCGGGGACCCCGAGCCGCTGGAGCCGCGCGGGGAGCCGCCGCTCCCCGGCCCCGGCCCCGGCCTCCGACCCGCTCCGGGGCACGGCCCCGGCCCCGGCCCCCCAGCCTCCCGCCTGGCAGCGCGCGGCCGCGCCCGCGGTCCCCCAGCCTCGAGCCGTTCGGCCGCTCTCCTGTCCGCTGGCCCCTGGTGCGCGGCGAGCCGGCGGCCCGGGAGCTGGGGTTCAGGGATGGCTGTCTCCGCGGACGCCGCCTGGGGAGAGCCGCCTCCCAAACTGCAGCGCCCGGGATCCCGTTGCAACCGCGGGCACCGCGTCTGCTAATCTGGCACCCGCCGGGCCGCGGCGTCACGTCTTCTACATCTCCACCCCCGACACCCACCAGCCTCCCGCACCCCCGGCTCTCCTCCCTCCTGCGCGCCGCCCCCTACTCGCTCGGGGTTTTTGGGGCCTGCCTCTGAGTCCGGCGGTTCAGCCACAACACGCAAGCGCGCGCGACATCCGTCCCGGGGGGAGCCCGGCCTCAGTCGGGGGCGGGGGAGGGGCGGGGGGCGCGCGTCGGAGGCCGCGGCAGGGCCTTGGCAGTCCCGGGGCTCCACTGCCCCTTGTCCCCCAGAAGTCACCCCCACCCAACCCCGCACTACGCAAACCACGTTTAGGCTTTCTCCACACTGCGGGGCTTTTGCTGCGCAACCAGCCGTGACTCAACTTTTAAAAGTTTAAACTCAACTTTCTCCCCCATTTTTTTCCCCGCTAGCGTTTCAAAACGGAGAAGCCGTTTCCACCCCAAAGTAGAGAAGTTGAAATCCAAGGAAGATTCTGTGTCAGAGCAGGCTTTGAAAATCTCTAAATCACCAAAAGACGAGGGGTACACGTGGGGCATAAACTTTAAAATTAAAGGACGGAGGCTGAAGTAGTCTACCAACAAAAGGAGAAAAAGAGGCCAGAGAAGGGGAGCGGATTGGGTTGCTAAGAGGAAAAGATTTCCTTTACTGACCTAACTTGAATTAGACGACGCAGAAAGATGAGGATGGGACTCAAATCCTTATCGCGATTGAAGCGCATTAATGTCTTCACTCGGAGCTGGCATTTGCCCTAGCTAAATTGTTATGCATTTCTTGGAGAGAGAGTTATTGTCTGTAAATCCCAAATGTAAAATTGAAGTTAATTGCATTTTGGTGATTTTCAGTAGGATATAGCAGGTGCTACAGATGATTAGCAAAATATCTGTTCAGAAAATTTGCATGTATTGAGTACCTACTGTGTGCAACACATTGTTGAGTGTATGGGAGATGCCAAATCTGATGGGAGCGTCTCACACAGTGAGGGAGATAAGATGGGTAGCATGAGTAACACAAATAGCAGTAGAAAGTAGGCCATAGAAGAGTAAGACTAAGTGCTGTGGCATTTCAGACATCGGGTAACTCAGCGTGGGGAGGCAGGAGATTTAGGGAAGCTTCTAGCAGGAGTTGCAAGTATGGACGTGCCTCCTTGTAGAAACATTAGGTTTCAAAAGGCCATGCCTAAGTGCATTTGTTCTTATGTCTCCAAGAGGGCTTTAACTCCAGATGCATTTCTAGAATGTTAAATATAGGAGTGTGAGTAAATTCTTTGAAGCTTTAAATCCAGGTATACTCTTCTTTTTTTTTTTTTTTTTTTAGACAGAGTTTTGCCCGTGTTGCCCAGGCTGGAGTGCAATGGCGCGATCTCGGCTCACCGCAACCTCCGCCTCCCGGGTTCAAGAGATTCTCCTACTTCAGCCTCCTGAATACCTGGGATTACAGACACACACTACTACGCAGGGCTAATTTTTTGAATTTTTGTAGAGACGGGGTTTCTCCATGTTGGTCAGGCTGGTCTCGAACTCCCGACCTCAGGTGATCTGCCCACCTCAGCCTCCCAAAGTGTTGGGATTACAAGCCTGAGCCACCGCACCGGGCCCAAAACCAGGCATATTATTCTTTCTTCTTGCAGATGGCATATGTTCTATAGAGGAGGAAAAAAAATATTGTCCCCATTCATTACTAGGTTTGTGACTGAAGCCGCTGTAACAAACGACACATTAACAAGAGAAAAACACACTAACTTATTTATGTACGTTTTACACAAAACAGGAGCCTTCAGAAATGAAGACCTGAAGTTCACAGGGAAACCTGTGTATTTTTAAGGCTAGGATTGATAAAGAAGTGGAAGTCATGGAGAAATATGATTAGACAAGTCTGTGATCTAATGGTAATAAACTGGGGGGACTTACTTAGCAAAGCCTACTTGCTCAGATTCTTCTCCCTGTCCCTGTGTCTTCAGAGATAAGGATGTCCCTTTCCTCCACGTATAGGGAAAGCACCTCTGGAATGAAGGTCTTATGGCCTGCCTCAGAAGAGAAGATCTGGGGAAAGTGAAAGTAACCCTCTTGCTTTTGCTCTTTTCTCAAGTGCCAAGGTACCATTATTTTGGGGTAGCATGTCCTGAACCCCATCAGTTCTCTAACGTCTGTCTCCAAAATGGATTCATTTCATCTTCATTGAAAATGGATCTGTTGAGACAAAATCACTCCCTCCAGATGATCTCTGTAGGTGCTACAGTGGTGCTGAGTAGTCCCTAGAATGATTGAACTCTTAGTCGAACTCTGTGTCACAGAAACCTGAGGATTCCAGGAGCACGGGGATAAAATCTAAGTCATTATATTTTTTAACAATGGCATCCAGAAAGCTGGGAAGCAACTACAAGCACTTAAATAATTTGCATTGCCTACAATTCAAACAAATAATCTAATTTTCAAATGGGAAAATATTTAAACAGACACTTCTCCAAAGAAAATATACAAATAGCCAACAAGCACATGACAAGGGGCTCAACATCATTAGACATTAGAGAAATATAAATCAAAACAACAATGAGATACTACTTTACATCCACCAGGAGAGCTATAATTAAGAAAGAACAACAAAAAATAACAAGTGTTGAAGATGTAGTAAAAGTGGAACCCTCAAACATTGCTAGTGGGAAGGTAAAATGATGTAGTCAATATAAAAGCAGTGTGACAGTTACTCTAAAATTAAACAGTCACCAGACAACCCAGCGATTCCACTCCTAGGTATGTAGCCAAGAGAATTGGAAGCATATATTCACATGAAAATATGTACATACATGTTCATAGCAGCTTTATTCATAATAACCAAAATGTGGAAACAAGCCAAATGTCCATCAAATGATGAATGGATGAATCAAATGTGGTATATCCATACAATGAAATGTTATTTGGCAATAAACAGAAATGAATTACTGATACATGCTACAACATGGATAAAGCTTGAAAACATTATGCTCAGTGGAAAAAGACAGAAAAGACCACGTGTTGTATAATTCCATTTATATGAGATGCCTAGGATAGGCAAATCCATAGAAACAGAAAGCAGCTTAGTGGTTGCCAGGGCTGAAGGAGAGGAAAATGGGGAGTGACTGCTAATGAGTATGGGATTTCCTTTGGGACCTATAAAAGAGTTCCAGAATTAGATAGTGGTGATGGTTATTACACAACTTTGTGAATATACTGAAAACCATTGAATTGCACACTTTTAAATGGTGAATTTCATGATACGTGAATTGAATCTTCAAAAAAGAGAAAGAAAAATAATGGATGTCAAAATGAAAATGAGTTTTTTTCTCCCATAAGGTTGGGGGGAAAAATATATTACCCAGTGCTGTTAAGGATGAGGTGAACCAGAGACCTTATCACCAGTCAGAGGGAGGCTAAGTTATATGCATTTTGGGAAAACTGTTTAAAAGAGTACATCACATTTTTAATTTTTGATTTTTTTTTTCTTTTTTGAGACAGGGTCTCACTCTGTCAACCCAAGCTGGAGTGCATTGGCAGAATCGTGGTTCACTGTAACCTTGACCTCCTGGGCTCAGGTGGTCCTCCTACCTTAGCCTCCCAGGTTTGCTGGGACTACAGGTGCATGCCACCATGCCTGGCTAATATTTTGTGTATTTTATAGAGACAGGTTTCACCATGTTGCCCAGGTTGGTCTCAAACTCCTGGGGTCATGCGATCTGCCAGTCTCAGCATGCCAAAGTGCTGGGATTACAAGCATGTGTCACCATGACTGGCCCAATTTTTGAAATTTAAATACCATTTGAGCCAACAGTCTTGGTGCAAGAAATTTATTCTCAACAAACGATTATAGATGCACACAATATTTATTAACCTGGGTGTTCATTATATCCTTGGCTCTAAGACTGCCAACAGAAAGAAAGCCGCATTTAAAAGAAAATACCGAGAGTCTTACGTAAATTACAAGTTCATTGCAACAGGGTATTCACATTCTCTGAACCCACTTTGTATAATTCATATAAATTATATTATATTCATTCAAAGTAGTATGTTCCGTGTAGCCAAATGAACAGTTTTGTGGGAGAACATATAATGACATGAAAAAAATGCTCACAATATTGTATATTGTTAATTGAAAGAAGTAGGTTACAAAACTGTATAATAGTATCTCATTTTTTTAATGTGCTCTCCTACACATAATAGAATGAGAAACACTAAAGTATTTGTAGTGACATTTTGGAAGGTAGAATTTTTTATGCAAACAATGAATTACTATCATATAAACTTATCATCTAAAATTGTATCTTGTTTATTTGCTTTTGTATTTATTATCAGTTTCCTTCCCCTAATATAACACAAGAAAACTTAGAGCAGAGATCTTTCTGACCTGTGCATTACTGTATTCCAAGGACCTAACGGCACTAAGTGGGGCCTCAATAATTTGGTTTGCTTGTTTGTTTCTTTTTTGACAAATGAAGGAATGCATTATTTTCATCACAAAAAGCTGTTTTTGAAAGCTAAGTTCATCATCATCTATAGTATGGAGGGGCAGGTATCAGTGTAGTCAATGTCTGTGGAAGTCTTTCTTTTAACTATTTTATAATTAAAATCACATTAAACCCATTTCCTTATGAAAATCTCACAAAAATTTGCAAATTATTGTTTTCT